CAGGGGTCGCTAAACTGCAGCTCTCGAATCATATGCGGCTTTTTCAGTATGTACATGTGGCTCGGAAGTAAAATTGATAATGAAATAAAGCCACCATAGTTTCATTTATAATATTGCTTTAAATATTTATTTTTAAAATATTTCTTAATTTGTAAAAATATAGTTATGGTTTGCAAATAATTTTTAAATTGTTGTGAAGAGTAGGATGCCTGTCCTCAAAAGTTTGCTGACCCTTGTTCTAGATCAGTCATTTGTATGATATTCCTAAGTTGCTCATCCATGCAGACTTGCAGTGGTTTGGCAATTATTTGCCCAGTTCCTATGTTCCTTTTTGTGAGAATCCTCAAAATTACTTGGAGCTATCCCATCCCATCCCATTGTTTTATAATTTTAAGTCCCACCCTATTTTGACCTTGTGTTTCTAATTCATGTTACTTCTGAAAACTTTAATTCTCTAGTATAACGTGTCCATTTCTGTCTGTGCTTTTAGTCACTGTCTCATACAATTGTGCTTGCTTCCTCTGCTTTTGATCTTGTCTGTTTCTCATCCTAAATCCACATTTAATTCCTTTCTAGAATATTCAGCACCACCTCTAACACTTTTTCCCTTTTGCCTTAAACATGTACATTTCCCCCTCATCTTTGTGTGAATAGTTCTATTCTCCACTAGCTTCCCTGCTTAGTTTCTCTCAGCATTAATTAAGCCCATGCTTTTCTTTATCCACTGAAACTTTCCTTGAAGTGATCATTACTCATCTCATTCCTAATTCTTTTACTTCCTCTAAATATCTTCTTAATTTTTTTTATTTTGCTCTTGTTTTTGACTCAGTTTTAGATTATGTTCTTATGGTGTTGCTTGTACTGTCTGGATTTCCAGTTTAGCTCCTTGCTTCCAATTATTTTTATCCTTAGAATGTATTTTAACAATGTAATGGCAGAATTATCTTTCTGAAAAATAAATAGGCTTCAAAAAGTTTATGAGAAAATTCCATGATCTTTTAATTCTATTTTTCTAAACATTTTTTGAAGCCCCATATATTTGGCATTGTTCTTCCAGGTGTAGGAGTCTACCATTCTTTCTTGGTACCTGAAGCAAAGTCCATTTTGTGAAACACTAAAGTATAACAATGTGAACTTAGTATAGTTTTTCTGGATTGTGCCATTTGTTCTCTTTAACTTCTTCCTTAAAGTCCATTCTGTGAAACACTAAAGTATAGCAATGTGAACTTAATATGGTTTTTCTGGATTGTGCCACTTGTTCTCTTTAACTTCTTCCTTTCCTGTTTTAAAGTGCAGTGGTTTTTTTAGCCTTGTGAAACTATTTCTGACATCACTTTGTGAGTCAGTCTTAATCAGAATAATCTTGTAGATTTAATCACACCCTTGCTTGGATTGTGCCCATAACATTGGGCACTGACCTCTAAACATATCGTACCACATATTATTTGTAGGTGACAGTAAAGGGTGACTGATACTTTCAAGAGATTGATAAAATCAACACATGATGAAAGAAATTAGGGATATCCTCTGACCTGGTGCTTAAGTATGATTGTTCCCAAGGTCTATAGTAAATTAGCTTTCACCCACATCAATGGTATTGAAAGTCAGAATAATGTTTTAGATGCATTTTGCCTAAAGAAAAATGTATGAATAGAATAGTAGTTTTATCAATTGAAAGTCTAGAAAATCCATTTGAGTAAAATGAATTGAGCACTTATGAGGGTAAGTAAAAAAGTGTTGCAAGAAAA